TTTCCCTAACCAAAGGACCCTAACTGGGAACCCCACCTTGATAACTAACTGCTGCTTTTCTTTGTCTTCCCCAGGAGACAAAGAAGGGTCTCAGAGTTTCCTCCTTCAGTTTCCCTACCCTTCACCTGCCCCTTCACTACAGCAGTTATTAAGGACTAAATATCTCTCTCCTAAACTACTTCAACTTCCTCCTAAATTCTCATCAGTCTTCTCATATTCCCCCATCCAGCCATTCCTGATCGGTTTTTCAGGCAGCCCCAAGAGTAAACAGATCTGATCACTTCTATTCCTAAGAAATCACCATCAGCATCCTACTAAACATAAGACATCTTCGCTTAGCATAAAGGGCTATTTCCACCCCATAGCAGACTACCCTCCTAGCATCATCAATAGCTGCTCTCCCTCAGGGACCATAAACCAATAAATGTGCATATACAGCTCACTTCCACACTTGGTGGGGGTTGGAGGGAGGAAGGAAACTTCCTCAGTGGCCCAGATCCAATAGGACTACAGGACACTAGCTTTACAAGAGGACAGAACTGAACTAGAAAAGCCCTAATGTCTCCCGAGGGGATTCTACAGAGTCCCCACCAGGAACAAGGACTTCCCCAGATGTGGCTGCCTGATCTTGAACTTCCAAGCCTTTTGAAACATGAGCCAAATAAACTTTATTTTTTATATATTGAAAAAAAAATAATAAAACAAAAAGCCGGGCACCAGTGGCTCACACCTGTAATTCTTGTTACTCACGAGGCAGAGATCTGGAGGATTGAGGTTCAAAACCAGCCCGGGCAAATATAGTTCACAAGACCCCATCTTGAAAAAGCCCTTCACAAATAAGGACTGGCGGAGTGGCTCAAGGTGTAGGCCCTGAGTTCAAACTGAAGTACCACCAAAAAAAAAAACCAAACAAAAAAGAACCCTTAGCCAGGTACCAGTGGCTCACACGTAATCCTAGATACTCAGGAGGCAGAGATCAGGAGGATTGAGGTTCAAAACCAGCCCAGGCAACTAATTCCATAGACCCTATCTCGAAAAAAATCTTTCACAAGAAAGGGCTGGTGGAGTGGCTCAAGATGTAGGCCCTGAGTTCAAGCCCCAGTACCACAAAAAAAACAAATGGCTGGGCTCAAATTCCAGTTCAGTGACCATGCTGTTTTACTCATCTATAAAATATAAATGGTTGTTCTTTTTTGTTGTGGTGGGGGTTTTTTTGTTTGTTTTTTTTTGTTTTTGTTTTTTTGCAGTACTGGGTCTCAGCACTTCACGTTTGCTAGACAGGCACTCTACCATTTAAGCCCCTCCACCAGTCATGTTTTGTATTGGATTTTTCGAGATAGGGTCTCACAAACTCTTTGCCTTGGGCTGGCTTTGAACCACTGGCTTCAAACCACAATCCTCCCGATCTCTGCCTCCTGAGTAGCTAGGATTACAGGCATGAGCCACCAGTGTCTGGACATGCCCATTTGAGATGGAGGTTTCATTAACTTTTTACCCAAGCTGGCCTCAAATTGTGATCCTCCCAATCTCCACCTCTAGAGTACCCGGGATTATAGATATGTACCACCACAGCTGGCAAAATATAGTTTTAATGAAGATTAAATTGTGGGACAAGGGCAGGGCATGGTGGTACACACCTGTAATCCTTGTTACTGGGGAGTTGCAATAGGAGGAGCATTTTAGTTCATGAGCTAAGATCAGCCTGGGAATCAGAGAGACCATGTCTCAAAAAAAAAAAAAAATCATTTCTACTGTGAGACAGAAACTAGCAGACAGCCTAGAACATAGAAAGTGCTAAATAAATATTAGCTGTCATAATCCATCTCTTCCAAAACTGTGAGCTATTCACAGGCTGAGACCCAGTTACACCCACACATCTCCTTACACTTAGTATCTAGTGCAACAAATTAACAATTTTAAGGCATTTCCACCCATACTCTGGCCCCTCTAATTTCTAATAAAATGATTTCCTAATAACTCTCAGGAGGTTGAATAATTGTTACGTTAAATGAAGACACATTTAGACCTAAATAGGCAGTGAAATCAAAAGAGATGTATGCTTAAATTACATCAAATACTGGGCTGGAGGTATGTATGGTTCAAGTGGTACAGCACTTGTCTAGCAAGCACCAGGCCCTGTGTTCAAACCCCAGGACCACCAAAAACAAACAAACAAAAAAACATAACACACCAATTGTTTTCACTTTCAGTTGTTTAATAACTGAATGGAAATACACATATCCCAAAATGAAATTCATAAAGTTGTACTTCCTAAGGAGCTTAACTTTAAGTAATCAGGTAGGTAATTTGGATAAACAGCATTTTAGAACCTATAAAGTTTTCACAGTTCCAGTTTCCAAAATGGCTTAGAGCCAGGGCTGTCCTTAAAGAGGCATAATAACAAAGCTAAGAACCTGCCCTTCCTTCTGCTCATTCTTTTCCTTACCTATTTCCTTCTTTTGTTTAAACTAATGTTTCATGCACATTACACTTTACAAAAGAAGACTTCAAAAGATGAAAAAAATGGAGATAAAATAGAAATGTAAACACTAAATAACCCCTCAAAAAAGATCAAAAAAGGGACAAAACAAATTTGAAAATCAGACTCTAAATTCAGAACAAATTTTCAACTTAAAATTTCCCATTGTTTAAAGACAGCAAGGGGCTGGGGATGTAGCTCAGTGATAAAGCACTTGCCTAGCATATCCAAGGCCCTGGGTTTGATCCCCAGTACTGCAAAAATAAGTAAATAAATAAACAAACAAATAAACTACTTTAAAAAAAATAAAGACAGCAAGGGAACATTTTTACTTACAATTAAATTGGCTTCTACCCTGACTACATTTTCATCAAATCTCAATATCCAGAACTGACTACATTTTGAGTCTAGGAGGCAATATGGGTATAGAGTAACAGCATCTTACTGTAAAGGGTCAGATGTAACTCCAAGTACAGGCTTTACTTGAACTCACAAGTTCTGTCACTCACTAGCCATATGACTTCTGCAACTTTCCATTCATGATCCCATAAGTAGGGATAATGAGGACTAAATGATGTAATGTATGTAAAAAGCACTTAGCATATTACATGACACAGAATAAGCATTCAGTAGTAAATCGTATGTTGTTGTAATGATTTTCCTTAAATCTTAACTTTCATAAATTATGGTTGATGCATAGAATGAAATACAGCATTAACCTTTGAAACATGAGGCAGTTCTAGTGTTTTGTTTTTTTGGTTTGGGTTTTTTTGGGGGGGGGAGGGGGGGAGGGGGGGAACAAGATCTCACTATGTAGCCCAGGCTGGTCTTTTTTTGGGGGGGGCAGGAAACACTGGGATTTGAACTCAGGGCCTCATGCTTGCTAGGCAGGCATTCTTACCACTTGAGCCACTATACCACTCCTTTTTTTGTGAAGGGTTTTTTTGGGATAGGGTCTTGTGAACTATTTGCTTGGGGGTGGCTTTGAATTTCAATCCTCCTGATCTCTGCCTTTTGAGTAGATAGAATTACAGGCATGAGCCACACACCCAGCCCAGACTGGTCTTAAATTTGCAATCCTTCTGCCTCCAACTCCCAAGTGCTGGAATTATAAGCACACACCATCACACCGGTGGGCAATGAGGCAGTTCTACGCTTATCCTAAGATATACTAAATTTAAAAAATAATAATGATGGTTAATAGAATTAACTGTTCTATACATAGAAGTGCGTTTAGTATGCTACCACTTCTATTGTTTCATGAAAATATACTTGAATATACACAGAATATCGCTGAAAGAATCAATAAGAAACGAGTTTCAAAGGTCTCTTCTGGGAAGGAATACTAAGTAATACTGAATAGGGGCAGAAGAGTCTTTTTTCAGTGCTGGGAATTAAACCCAGGGCCTTAAGCACGCTGTACCACTGAGCTATATCCCCAGCCCTAATGCCTATTCTATAATTAAGAAGTCAAATTTATATGACATAATCCACAGTTTATACCACCAAAATGTTTTAAGCTAATCTCTGCAGAAAAGGCTAGGGTTATCTAGTCATAGTTGTAGAATTCATTTCAATGGCTGTGATAGTAATGGTCAGACTGTTACATTTTTAGCCCGTGAGAACAAGTTTATTAAAACATACACTTTATAAGGTATACCAGTTTATTAAGACTCATAAGGAAGTTACTTGGAGATGACAAATGGGAAAACATAACCGTGGGTGGGGGATACAATGAGAATAACTTCATCATTCACTCAAAAATCTTATCTGCCGGGGCTGGCAGCGTGGCTCAAGTGGTAGAGCATCTACCTAACAAGCATGAGGCCCTGAGTTCAAACCTCAGGACTGGGAAAAAAAAAAAAAATCTTATCTGCCCATTAGGAACCAGTCACGAGGGCCTTGTGTGCATAACCTGCAGTTCAGTAGGAGTATATGAATAGAGCAGTAAAATTAGAACTCCTGGGAGGCAGGAGGATCGAGAGTTCGAGGCCAACCTGAGCTACACTTCCAGCCCCTGTCTCAGAAATCAACAAAAAAATTATTAGCATTCCTGTGGGCTTGATTGCTCAAAATATACATTCACTCGTTCACGAGCATACAACAACTGTACAACTGAATGAAGGAAGCCCGGTAACAAAACACAGTCCCGACTGAACGTGTGGCAACTATCGCCCTCTCAATCGCAGTGTGGCTGGACCTGCGTTCCCAGAATCCGGAGAGCAGCGGGGCCTGCGGTGTCCCAGGCCTGTCCCTAATCCTGTGCGGGCCACCAGTCCGGAGAGCTCCTGGGTGGGAGAGTCCCGGGACACCAGCCCCAGCTCGCATCCCTCCAGGCTCTGGCTAGCACGACCTCTGACCCTCCAAATGAAAGTCACTCTGCGCGGCTGCCCCGGTGCTCGGGCTCCTGCACCGCCGGGTGGTAAAGCGGTCAGAGAAATGAACGCCTCTCGAGGGACCCTTGGCTCCGGGACCGCGAGGGTGACCCCAGCGGCTTCTCGGGCAATATGCAGTCACTGACCTTTCCAAAGGGGCTTCCCGGGGGCGAAGGCCCAGGCCCCGCACCCAACACATCTCCCTCTCAGCCGGCTCCGCGCTAAGTAGCGCAGGGTAACCAAGGGCGACCAGGAGACCGCCATCTTGAGCTCCGTACAAGGGAAGAGGAAGAAAACTTTATTGAAAGCCAGAAGAGAGACGGTGCCAGGGAACCACAGGAGCACTCGCCCAAGGCTCCGCCTGATAGAGCGAAAGGGAGCACCTGGATGTGACCTCCAGTCCTAGGGGCGGGCTGAACGCCATTGCCCTTCCGGGCGGGCCAGCTGGGACTACGACTCCCGGCATGCAGTGCGCGGCCACAGGGGGTGGGCGCTCTTCCGCGGGCGGAGGGAGCAACCCCCTTCCTCCCCCTTCCTCCCCCTTCCTCCCGCCCCGGCGACCGCTGCAATGTTGTCGGGTCCTGGAGAAGTCGTTACGGTGTGCTTATCCACTCCTGAACCTTTCGTGTTAGCACACGTACGGTCCAGTGGGCCCCAACACTTTAGGGTAATACCTAAATGGTTGACCAAATTTGTCCCCAGTCTCCAATGAATTTTTCTTGTTTTATTTTTGGTGGGACTCAAGGTTTTGCCGTTTGCAAAGCAGGCACTCAACTGCTTGAACCACACCTCCAGTACATTTTGCTCTGGTTATTTTGGAGATGGAGTTTGCAGAACTATTTGCCTTGGCTGGCCTCAAACCAGGATCCTCCTGATCTCAGTCTCCCAAGTAGCTAAAATAATAGGTGCCCCATTGCACGCATCTTTGAAGAGTACTTAAAATGTATGCTTTTGACATTTGAATAACATAAATCACTTCCAACATGGCACAAACTCAAATGTTATGATAGGATTTATAAAAGGGATGGAAGAGTCAAGATGGAGAGTAAGTGAACTAGTAGTCATTGTAAGGAAATATAGGCCCCAAAGTGACCATGTGGAGCGGAGTGATCTGGCCAAGAGATTCTTTATTGCTAGGTTGGAGAGGGAGAGAGCAGAGAGCCAAGAGAGGGAGAGAGGGGCAGGGGCTTAAATACCCCTCAGTGGGACTCAGTATGATCTGATTGGTTAGGATCTTATGGTTCATGCTGATTGGAGGTTGGGGCAGAAGGAGGGTTCAAGCTAGACTTGGGGCAGGACCGTGACCCTGGAAAACAGGGGCTTAAGGGTGCAATAAGAACTGAAACCTATTGGTGCCATTATTGCCAACATTCCTCCCTTTTTTGTTTGTTAAGGAAGAGGGGCGTTGTGTTCGCTCTGGCTTCTTCGAGCTGGCAAGGGGCAGTGTAGGGGAAGGGAGGGTTAGTTGGCAAACAATGTTGGGGTGCTGAGCCTCATGATGGTGTACACCCAGGCTCCAAAAATGAAGATTTCCTCTTCCCTGAAGTTGATGAAGGTCCCTTGTAGCCACAGGTCATAAAGTGTCTTCGGCTCTCCCTGAAAAAAAGGCCCTCACCCCGAAATGGAAAGGGCCCCTTAAGATCATCCTCTGCACTCCTACTGCAGCCCGATTAGAAGAGACTCCAGGAAAACTAACATCTTGGATTCATATTTCCAGGCTAAAGCCAGCCCGGCTCCCTGGAGACAACTGGCAGAGCGATCCCAGCGACCCTTCACCTTCACCCCCCACCTTCATTTGCACCCCTTCCCCTGAAGACCCCTTGAAACTTCACATTTCTCGGGTTCATGTTCCCTCCCCAGCCCCCAAGGATGTGTCTTGACTCTCTTTTTTTATTCGCTGTTCTCACCCTCCTCTCCATGAGTGGGCAGGCTAATGCCGGAGGGTATTTTTGGAGGTTTAAGATACGGGAGACCTACACTGTCTCAGAAACCTCTCTCACCGGTCTGGTGGGCACTGGAGACTGCCCTCCTAAGGGCTGCCAGACCCCTATCTCAGTCCCCTTCAAACCCAGGAGTGATAGCGACTTTGGACGCCATTGTCCTTTCTTCTCCCAGACTAAGGACTACTGCAAGAAGGGGGCACCATATACCCAGGAATATGGGGGATGTCCCTATTGGTCGTGCAACATCTACCAGGTACTGAATTTAAGGGGCCCAGACAATGAATTCTCCCTCTATAGGGGACAAAATGGGACCATCGTGGCCCACATTCCCGACCCATGGAACAACAGATGGGTTTGGGGTGAAATGATAGCCCTCTATGCTGGGTGCACTGCCTCCAAACCCTCAGCTCACATTATGATTTCCAGGGAGCTCACCCTTCCAATCCCTACTCAACAGGAGGTGACTTCGGAGGTCCTCCAGTCGGAACAAGGCCTACAACAGGCCCTTCAACAATCCTCCACCCCTACCTGGCTCCAACTGTTCCAGGCTTCCCTCCAACTCATGAACCTCACCACATCCACTAGTCATTGATTGCTTTCTTTGTGCCTCCCTCCAGCATCCTCTGCTGGCTGCAGTTCCCATTAATGCTTCATCTTCTATCAAGGCTTCCCCTGCCTTACAAAACTCCTCACGCACCCCTTCCTTGCCATCCGTACCTCTATGGGCACCTGACTCTACACAAGTTCCGCTTCCTACACACACCTGTTATACCCCGCTCTCGACATCTCGGTCCAACTTTTCTCTCTCCTGTCATATCAACGTCACAGTTACAGCACAACTGGCGTCCCCGAGTGGGCTATATTTCTGGTGCCATGACACCCAACACTCCTGCATAACCCAAACTACTCCCGGGCCCTGCATACTGGTAATCATAGTTCCCCAACTTACTCTTTATGGGGAAGCTGAATTCTCCCTCCTATTCAGCGCTCGACCAAAGCGTGCTGCCTTCTTGCCCGTTATGGTAGGTATAAGTTTGGCAACCTCCGTTGCTGCCGTAGGCTTTGCGGGGGGAGCTCTTGGCCATAGTGTTATTTCAGCAAGGGACTTTGAGGAGTGCTTACAGATCACCCTCGAATCCACCTCGATCTCACTGGCCTCCCTTCAGCGTCAGTTCACCTCTCTAGCTCAGGTGGCCTTCCAAAATCGTAGGGCCCTGGACCTCTTAATGGCCGAAAAAGGGGGCACCTGTTTCTTCCTCCGGGAGGAATGTTGCTATTATGTCAATGAGTCCGGGATTGTGGAACAAAATGTCAACAGGTTAACAGACTTGGCCGAGGACCTCCTAAGGGGACCCAGTAAAAACACCTTAACCAACCTGCTGAGCTCTCCTCTCGTCACCTGGCTTCTGCCTTTCTTGGGTCCTTTGCTTATGCTCATTGCTCTCTGCGCCCTCCTACCCTGCTTACTCCAGTTTCTCAGATCTCAGGTGAACAGAATCTCTAACCAAACTTTTAACCAGCTTCTCCTTCAGGGATACCACCCCCTCATAGCTCAGCTGGAGGACACCCGCGATGAACCCTACCGGGACACCGGACTGTGAGCCACTCCAATTCCCTACAAGGCACCTACTGCAGTTCCTTGATTCCCTATGTGAGGACAGCTGGCTAATACCTGCCATACGAGGCCCAGAGGAGTGGCTGGAGACCATTTATGATCTATGGCTACAGGGAACCTTTATCGAATTCAGGGAGGAGGAAATTTTCACCTTTGGAGCCTGGGTGTATGCCGTTATGAGACTCACTACCCCAACGCCATCTGGCAACTAACCCTCCCTTCCCCTACACCGCCCCTTGCCAGCTCGAAGAAGCCAGAGCGAACACAATGCCCCCCTTCCTTAACAAACAAAAAAGGGAGGAATGTTGGCAATAATGGTGCCGATAGGTTTCAGTTCTTACTGCACCATTAAGCTCCTGTCTCCCAGGGTCACAGTCCAGCCTCAAGTCTAGCTTGAATCCTCCCTCTGCCCCAACCTCCAATCAGCATGAACCATAAGATCCTAACCAACCAGATCATGCTAAGTCCCACTGAGGGGTACTTAAGCCCCTGCCCCTCTCTCCCTCTCTCTCTTGGCTCTCTGCTCTCTCCCTCTCCCACCCGGCAATAAAGAATCTCTTGGCCAGATCACTCATCTCCACGTGGTCACTTTGGGGCCCACATTTCCTTACAGTCATTGGATGGCGTATCCAAAGGAGAATTTCTAAGTCATCTGCCCGAACTTGATTAAACAATGAATGTGTTGAGACACTATAATTTGGGAGTACAAATTGATGTCCAGAAGAGGCTGGCATTCCAGCAGTTTGGCAGTCCAGGAGGCTGGATGAAGACTGGAACAAAAGACCACCAACTGTAGAATCAATGAGAAAGCACTTTGGGACATCAGGAATGCCTTCTGGAAGTTTAACTTTTAACAAGAGGTAAACACCTTCCAAGAATAAGAAAGAGCTGGTGGAGTGCCTCAAGTGGTAAGAACACCTACCTAGCAAGCATGAGGTCCTGAGTTCAGAACCCAGTGCCACCAAAAAAAGAAAAAGCTGGTCAAAGAATGAGGGAGCCAGGCACTAGTGTCTCATGCCTGTAGTCCTTGCTACTCAGAAGGCAGCGATTAGGAGGATGGAGGTTTGAAACCAGCCCTGGCAAATTGTTCTCTAGACCCTATCTCAAAAATACCCAACATAAAACAGGGCTACCAGAGTGGTGTCAAGTGGTAGAGCGCCCTGAGTTCAAACCCCAGTCCTGGAAAAAAAAAAAAAAAGAAGAAAAACCCAAGAATAGAGTTAAGACAGGCAAGAAATTCTGGAGTACAGGAAGGAGAAAGCCAAGCTCCAGTTGTATGAAAACAAAAAAGACACTAGGAAGAGTTCCAGAAAGTCAGGCAAATTGGTCCACACTACAAAAGGGATTCGAGAGAAAAGAGGAAAAGGGAAGTGACATAATAATTTGGAGACTTTTCTACCAACTTGGACTTCTCTGTCAACTTGAACTTCTCTACCAACTTGGCCTAACCATGAAAATATGAAAATATTGTCTGAAAATATGACAATTTACAATACTGGATTTTTCTGGCTTTATTTCCACTGTCTGACATGGTGAGCTTTCCTCCATACTACAGTTATTTCTTTTTCTTTTAACATTAGTAATTTTGGTGTGACATTTTGTGAAAGACTTTTTAAAAATTAGACTGTTTCTTCTTTTATTTCGCTATTCAATTATCACATTCAAAAAGACATTTAGAAAGTATTTAGTTATGTGTGCTGTGGAAAAACAATTGCCTTGTCAATTAAATTATCCTTTATAGCTGGGACATGGTGGAACACATCTG